GTGGGTTAAAAAACAAACAAACAAACAAAAAAACTGGGAACAAGCCAACTTTTTTCTCGCTCACAAACTTAGGTCCAGATCATCAGCACGTACCTTGCTGCCTTTTCAGAGGCCAGAGGCCATGAAGCTCACATTCACACAGCATAGATCAGGGATCACAAAGGAGTGTGGATGCAAAGACATTTGCAGTCTCCCAGTCACGGATCGACTGTGTGCTAAAAAGTCTCTCAGTGTAACTTGGAGCACACTTTGGAAATCAAGGCCTTATAAGAAGCCAGGTACCCTGCTAAACAGTCCTTTCCTTGTCTACTTATTTCCCTAGTTGTAGACACACAAATAGTACCCTAATTCTTTTGCACTTTTCAGCAGCTGTGGATTCAACCCTCTTCCAGCCATGAGAACATTTAACTTTAATTAGATATTGGCCCTTGGCATGATACATCATGAATGCATTGCAGCTTTATTTAGTCAGTATATTTTCCTCTAATGTATTTCTCTACTGATTTACAAAAAGATTCCCTGCCTTCTCTTTCTCTCTCTCTCTCATATACTATGTATGCACTCTTTTTTTCCTCCCCTACCAACCTCCTTCCTTCCCAAAGCAGCTGACCCTGAGAGTTCCTTAAGAGGCAGTGAGGGAAGGAGAGGCCCAAATGGCTTATGGGACTGATAATTGGATGTTGTGTCCTTTATTTCTAAATTACCAGTTCATATCTGGCCTAAGTCATTAGAGATGAAAAACCACTACCATGCGACAGCTGTTCAGTGGCCTTTGTTGAAATGAGTTAGATGTCAGTGTCCAATTGCTGGTGGGCACATCATAAAATCTGCCATCACATATGGCCAGTTTTGTAGTTCTGGTGGAGAGGGCAAGGTTTTGAGTGAACTTGGGGACTGGGATTTGAATGAACATGGAGGTGGGTTGCTTCGGGTAGAGAGGCACTTGTACTGCTGCTGCCTATTCTGTGGAAAAAATAGACTGCTCCACTCTCCGGCGTTAATCTACTCATCATGTTTCAGTAGCACTAAATTCACTTCTGGGCTAGGTGTGATGCCAGCACATGGACAGGGTCAAACCTTAATTCCTCTTAAGAGAATTTTTTTCCCCTGCCCACCAAATTTCAAAAGAATGAAAGAGTTAATGCCATGTTCCTTACGATATATTAGCAGAACAGGTGGAAGAGCTCCAAGAGCCATGCTGACAATAAGCTGATTAACACTAAATCAACCATCAATGATTGTGAATATGCAATACTCTATTGTAACAGTATTTATCTGGACTGATCATATTAAATTATAATAATTCCTCCCAGCATTGCAGGTGTACCTCCCCCCAAAGACAACAAACCTGGCTGAGCTCACTTGCTCTGGTTTTATACTGGTGTAAACAGATTGATTTCTCTGGGGTTACTCCTGATTTATATCAGTGCAAGCAAGATCAAAACCAGGTCCAATGTGAAAAGAAATCGCCTCAGGCTTGAAAGGTGATTTGCTGCTGTCACCACAGCTAATTCAATGGTAGCAAATGGCAGGTCTCCATTGCTCTTCAATCACACCTCAAAGAAATACGAGGTTGCCTCCTGTTAAGCTTAAAAATAAAGTACATCAGCTTTTACTTGCAAGCCTGAGATCATCATCCAGACACAATCCCCTCCCTTGCAGCAACAACAACGTTTGGTTACACGAAACAGCAATATGAAGGCTGTATATTAAGGAGAAAAAAAATGAAAATAAGCTCATTTTAACATTATGGCTGCTTGGGTACTTTATTCTAGCGCCCCACCCCACCCTACTTTTACCTGTACTGCTTGTTAAATGAACCCAGGGGAATATATTATTAGTAATCATTCTCCTCGCATTGACATTTCAACCCTCACTTCTCTAACCTCTCCAAGGCTCGGTTCTGTCCACCTGTCTTTTTGCAGATCTTCCACCACCCTGGTGACATCTCCAAAATTAGATCAGAGTTAACAGCACGCATGCGCACACACACGCACACAGATTTGAAGAAGCTATGCAGAGAGGAGAGTGCAGAGTGTCTTGCCTGGTTCAGTTTTGTTCAGTTCAAAAAGCCTAAGAACTTAGGACTGATGTACATCTAGCAGGAAGCGTCACTACCAGAAGACTGCCATGTTTCATCATTGTGACAGAAACAGCACAGACCACCAGACAGTGGTCTCTGGCCTCCTACTGGTCAACTGAACCAATTTAAAAAAAAAAAAAAAACCCTGACTGCACAAGAAATGAGACCTACCCAGCCCCTGAGGAAAAACAAAAGGACACCACAGTTACATGAGGTAAACTAAACAGCAACCCTATAGCTGAACAGTGTCTTTGTTTGAGAATTCAATGAGGACCACCCCAGGGATCTGTAGCAATAACAGTTGGATCTTCCTACATGTAGGAGACACCAGTGATTCCATGATCATTGTTGAGCTGCAAATGCTAAAGTTTTAATGACACCTGCTGTACAGAGGGATTTAAAAAAAAATATTAAACCCAACCCAAAAACTTTTTTGGGGGGCCAGACAGGGAGAAAAGGGTAATTTCAGTTAAGAAAAGCACCCCTCTCCAGCCTCTCTCTACTTTCTTTGCTGAAATCCATCTTTGGGCCCCACCTGGTTAACCAATGTCTGTTGTGTTGGGTTGAAATCTTCAGATCTTGTGAGCTTCTCTGTAGTCGGGTCAGAGATATGGCGATGCATTATGAGAAACTCAAGAGTGCATGAGATTTGTATACAGCATGTGGCCAGGAGTGAAAATGGCAGACTCAGACACATTCCTCCCCCCAAATAGGTTAGCATCAGATACAGGGTGCATTACGCATTGAAAGTTGGGGTTCAGGGCACAGGGGACCTGCTAAGGATAGGGTTGCCAATTTTGGTTGGACATATCTTGGAGGTTTCATCACATGACATACTGTTTAATTAAAGATTAATCTAATTCCTGGAGACTCCGGGACAATCCTGGAGAGTTGGCAACCCTAGCTGAGGATGGAGCAGATTCATTTGAGAGTCAGGAGAATGGAAAGATTGGGTCAGGTAGAAGAATATGACTGTGTTGAGGGAGGCATGGGAAAATGATGGGAAGTCTATATGCAGACAGGGAAAGAGATCTTTAAAAAGTTCAGATATAGAACTGAACTGCTGCAGCTATGGGTTTCACCCATCACTAGTTATTTCTATGCTGACGTAACTTACACATTAAACTTTTATTAACAGCATTCAGAACTTTCTATTTTTGCCCAATCCAGGCATTTCAGATTTTCCATAACTGTCATCTAAAGAAGTTTCAGTCCTGAAGCAGAGTGGGAGAAAAACTGTGCACTGCCTGTAGATATATAATGCTTGATGTCTGAGTTCTGTTATGACATTTATCTTGGAATTCTGATGACATGAACAAACCATCTGAGCTTTACTCCTCTGGGTTTTTAAGGTCACTAGATAAAGATATAGGCTTCCTAAGGATAAATGAACCGGGTCTGAATTAACAGTCCAAGAAGACCTCCTCCTTTTGACCTTGAATGGGATATGGACTGCTGGCATATTGTGATGGAATATACAGTACCCTAAATACATCACATAAAATGCTTGCTTTACAAAATAAAAATGACTGTTTTGAAGATATAAATAATATGCTGCCATATTACCCAGAAATACAGCCATTACTCAGGTTTTTGGTACAATACCCAAAGCCCTTTAAGACAGAAATTATTTCAATATAGGAGTAGAAGATGCAAATATCTAGTTAGCAATACATAACCTCTCCTGTGCAATTCTACAACATTTCACTAGGGATTTTTTTTATTAGTCATAAGGGAGTAATTTCTGAATATCACATATTGGAATATTGAAAGGCTAAAAACTTGTTTTATATATTCATTCACTAGGGCTTCCTAATCCTTTACAGTTTATTCAGACTCCTGACCACTGGCAGAGTATAATGTGTTATGCCTCAAAGCCCATTTTGTCAAATGTTATAATGCAGGTTTCACAAAAGCTACAGTTAATGTATTTCTTTTGTTAAGTGACATTTCTTTGAAAGTACTTTCATCAGTTCCCCGCTATAAGTTTTCGTATTATTGCACTCAGAAACCAAATATTGTTTTCAAGTATGCGGTTTTAAAAGATATTGGGAGTGCTCATTGTTGAGATTTTTGAATTTTTATCCCTTTAAAACAGGATTTTCTAAAAAGACGCTGATATTTTCCCCCTTTATAGTTCATGATTAAAATTTAGCACTTAGCGGGGGGGGGAGGGGGGGGAGGGAGGGGAGAGAGACATGGAAGCTGAATTCTAACTCAGGTCTATCCAAAGTCAGAAATGAAAGAAAAATCAAATTTGAGCATTGTCATAGGAATTGAATTGGGGAAATGATTAGAAATAATAGTCACCTTACAATCAAACTCTAGAACCAAGGTACAGTAGCTGAGAATAATCTTCATTGGTTATATTTGGTTCAGGCTTAGAAAGTAGAAATGGACAAATAATTCATAACAAATAGTTTATTAATGGAATATCACTACTCTTCCCATTTGCTGATTGTCCACAGACAATGTATATACTATTCAGAATTACTCACCAAATAATTCCTGTGACTATCAGGAACACAGGGATTGCCATACTGAATTCCAGTAGTGGTCCATCTTGTCTCAGACAGGGACTAACACCAGTGCTTCTGAGGTCAGTGCAAGAAACTCCAAAAAGGACATTTATGGAATAACCTGTCCATAGGGGCAGATTCCTAACCACCATTAAATATAGGTTGGCTTGTGCCATGAAGTTTATATCCCTTATCAGCGGCAGGAAGATGGAGAAGGGGTTTCTTTCTACTCCTCTTTACTCTCACTGGGTCTAAGGAGCAGTTGTTGAGATGCTTTCTGCTTCTAGCCCCATCAACCAGTCACTTCTCTTGCTGAGGCCGGAGGTGATGATGAGCAGCAATCCTCCTCCCCCTACTGCTGGAGCCAGGGGAATTTCCTCAACAGTTCCACAGCTCTTTGAGGCTCCCGCCCCAGCCTGTTCTTTGTGCTCTAATGACCTATCTGCTAATAACACTATTTTTTAATGTTCCCTTGTGCATCGGAATGGCGACATCAATATAGAGAGGCCCACCTACTGGTTGAGCAGGCCCAGAAGAAGCAACTAGCCTTGGTGTCCCACCCATACTGAGGCATCTGGAGTTTCCTGCCAGCTGCCACAAGGAAACAGTGAAGGAGGTAGAGGGCTGCAACCACTGAACATCACTGGTGAGAATGGGATTTGGGAGCACACTCTTCATACCAGCACATCCCAATAGAGTTCTGACACAACTGGGTATCCAATTCACTCGCAGAATTACTTTCTGATAAATTCTACTACAATTCCAGCCACTCACCATGTGACATCAGGCAGAGCAACTATAAACATAGAGCAACCTTGATTTACGCTCAACACCCCACAGAATATATGTGGCTCCAGAGCCCAAACCTTCAGTCTCAGTGCTTTTGTGGTACTAAGTACACCTGAATTCAATGTTTGCAGGGAGGTGGGGAAGTGAAGGAGAGAAGCAAGTGGGGGGAAACGGAGTTTGACTTTTATAAATAGGTTTGGAAGGATTCTATTTTTGTCAGTAAATGCTGATAAACATTCACCATACTGACAAAAAAAAATATTTCCGTCGATAACACTTTACCTACCTGTACATTTCAAGTAAGAAAAACGCAGCTATGAGAAGTAAGAGTTTTATTTATGACGGTTTACTTTGTATACTTTGCCATGTGATGCTGAGAATGTGTTACGAAGCTTTAACTTTTTCAATCTCAACATCAGTTTTCATTAAATAATTATTGTCTAACTCTCCCAAGTCATTTCCCACAGCTGTGAAATTTTAAATTGATAAAATTCTAGAACAAAATGCTTAAAACCCATAATTTTGCACAATTTTTAAAATTTAAATTAAAAAAATACTTAAAAATAAATCACTGTCAAAATTATATAAAAAAATTAAAATCTTCTTCTGCCAGCCTAGATCTATATATTAGTAAAGATAATCATAGAATATTAGGGTTGGAAGAGACCTCAGGAGGTCATCTAGTCAAATCCACTGTTCAAAGCAGGACCAACACGAACTAAATCATCCCAGCCAAGGCTTTGTCAAGCCGGGCCTTTAAAAACCTCTAAGGATGGAGATTTCACTATCTCCCTAGGTAATCCATTCCAGTGCTTCACCACCCTCCTAGTTAAATAGTTTTTCCTAATATCCCACCTACATCTCCCCCACCGCAATTTGAGATCATTGCTCCTTGTTCTGTCATCTGCCACTATTTTGAACAGCCTAGCTCCATCCTCTTTGGAACCCCCCTTCAGGTAGTTGAAGACTGCTATCAAATCCCTCCTCACTCTTCTCTTCTGCAGACTAAATAAGCCCAGTTCCCTCAGCCTGTCCTCATAAGTCATGTGCCCCAGCCCCCTAATCATTTTTGTAGCCCTCCACTGGACTCTCTCTAATTTCTCCACATCCCTTCTGTAGTGGGGGGACCAAAGAAGATGTAGCTCAGCTGTTCTCAGGTGTGGCCTCACCAGTGCTGAATAGAGGGGAATAAATCACTTCCCTCAATCTGCTGGCAGTGCTCCTATGAATGCAGGCCAATATGCCATTGGCAATGAGGGCACACTGCTGACTCATATCCAGTTTCGCGTCCACTGTAACCCCCAGGTCCTTTTCTGCAGAACTGCTGCTTAGCCAGTCGGTCCCCAGCCAGTAGTGGTGCATGGGATTCTTCCTTCTTAAGTGCAGGACTCTGCACTTGTCCTTGGCGAACCTCATCAGATTTCTTTTGGCCCAATCCTCCAATTTGTCTAGCTACTCGGGACCCTATCCCTACCCTCCAGCATATCTACCTCTCCCTGCAGCTTAGTGTCATCTGCGAACATGCTGAGGGTGCAAGCCATCCCATCATCCAGACCATTAATGAAGACATTGAACAAAACTGGCCCTAGGACCCTGGGGCACTCCGCTTGATACCGTCTGCCAACTGGACATGGAGACATGGGATCAACGGTGACAAGTGATCAAACAATCTACCCAGCTTTCTATCCACCTTATATCCATTAATCCAATCCATACTACTTTAACTTGCTGGCAAGAATACTGTGGGAAACTGTATCAAAAGCTTTGCTAAAGTCAAGATATATCACGTTCACCACTTTCCTCATATCCACAGAGCCAGTTATCTCATCATAGAAGGCAATCAGGTTGGTCAGGCATGATTTGCCCTTGGTGAATCCATGTTGACTGTTCCTGATCACCTTCCTCTCCTACAAGTGTTTCAAAATGGATTCCTTGAGGACCTGTGCTCCATGATTTTGCAGGGGACTGAAGTGTGGCTGACCGATCTGTAGTTCCCCAGGTTCTCTTTCTTCCCTTTTTAAACTATTGGCACTATATTTGTCTTTTTCCAATTGTCTGGGACTTCCCCGATCGCCACGAATTTTCAAAAGATAATGGCCAATGGCTCTGCAATCACATCAGCCAACTCCCTCAGCACCCTTGGATGCATTAGATCTGGACCCATGGACTTGTGCATGTCCAGCTTTTCTAAAAAGTCCTTAACCTGTTCTTTCACCACTGAGGGCTGCTCACTTCCTCCCCATACTATGTTACCCAGTGCAGCAGTCTGGGAGCTGACCTTGTCTGTGAAGACCGAGACAAAAAAAAGCATTGAGTACTTTACCTTTTTCCACATCATCTGTCACTATGTTGCCTCCCGCATTCAGTAAGGGTCCCACACTTTCCCTGACCACCTTCTTGTTGCTAACATACCTGTAGCAACCCTTCTTGTTACCCTTCACATCCCTTGTTAGCTGCAACTCCAGTTGTGTCTTGGCCTTCCTGATTACACCCCTGCATGCTCTAGGGAGGAGTATAAAAATATTGCTAGTCATCTGTCCAAATTCCACTTCTTGTAACTTTCCTTTTTGAGTTTAAGCTCAAAGATTTCACTGTTAAGCCAAGCTGGTTTCCTGCCATATTTGCTATTCTTTCTGCACTTCGGGATAAGCCTGAACCAAAACCTGGGAACATTCTGATCTGGATCCATCAGTCATAAAATGGGACATATGGCAACAGCTGGATCTGAAGATCCCTATGCCGCATAGATCTGGTTGGATGATAAAAAAATATATATTCACAAGTAATTTATTTAGCAACTGATGCGGGGGACTACAAAGACTTTATATAATGAATATTATCAAGCCATATAAAAAACTGGTGAAATAATGAAAAAAAACCACCACAGAAAGAGAGTTGGAAGCTGAAATTTTCAGTTGAGCCTAAAATTTTTCATTGGGGGGGGGGGGTTTCCTAATAGAAAGAATATATTTAAAAAAAACCCAGGCATTTTCTGTTAAAACGTATGTGTTTTGTCAAAAAAAAACAATTTTCCATGGAAAAAAGTTTCAACAGCAAATTTTCAGCCAGGAGTGCTTAGGCCGGGTCTATACTAGAAACTTTTTTCAGTGTAGCAATGTTGCTTGCATGTGATTTTTTTCTGCCAGCAAAAGCCCTAGTGTAGGTGCAGCTATAAAAGCTTCTACTTTTTTCTTTAAACCAAATGAAATCTGATATTAATTCATTAAGAGGCAATGGGTGTGTGTGTACATATATACACCTCAACCCCGATAAAACGCGACCCGATATAACATGAATTCTGACATAATGCGGTAAAGCAGAACGTCCGGGGGGGGGGGGGGGCGGGGACTGCACACTCCGGTGGATCAAAGCAAGTTTGATGTAACGCGGTTTCACTTATAACACGGTAAGATTTTTTGGCTCCCGAGAACAGTGTTATATCAAGGTAGCAGTATATAGAAAATCCCAGCAACAGTTTCAAATGTAAAGGAAATAAAAAGTTAATTCAAAATAAAATGAAGGGAATTTCCTGCTTGCCAAAAGGATGCAGATTGACAGCTCTGGATATCAAAGGAGTATGTTTATCCCCTTGAACAGATGTAGCATAGGGAACAGCAGTTCAAGCTTCCTAGCACTGACTCACCACTCTTAAACTAGCTCTGGAGAGGCTGGTTGTAGCAATAAGACCACCTCATTGTCTGTGCTAGAAATTTGTACCATATTAACTATCCCAGCATTGATAAAGCAGTATGACCCTGTACTACAGACACAGCTATATTAATAGAGTTTATTCCTGTGTGGGAAGGGCAACAAGCAATACAAGTACATCATAAGCAAATAGTTTCCTTTCAATTTATTTCAGTCACCCCCTGCCTGCAACCCTTTCCAGACAGGTCTGGCTCCCAACCCCCCCCTTTAATTGTTACTGTTTGGATCTCCATTCCCAAGCAACCTTCCTCTCTTAACCAAAGTGCCTGCAGAACTCCTCCTCCTATACAACCCTTGTCCTTTTAACCAACGCTCCCCATCCACCGCAGGCAGGACTGGTATCTCTCACAGGCTTAATTAACCCCTTGACATAAGAACGGCCATACTGGGTCAGATCAAAGGTCCATCTAGCCCAGTATCCTGTCTACCGACAGTGGCCAATGCCAGGTGCCCCAGAGGGAGTGAACCAAACAGGTAATGATCAAGTGATCTCTCTCCTGGACTTAACCTCCATGAATTTATCCAGTTCTCTTTTAAACGCTGTCATAGTCCTAGCCTTCACAGCCTCCTCAGGTAAGGAGTTCCACAAGCTGACTGTGCACTGTGTGAAGAAGAAGAACTTCCTTTTATTTGTTTTAAACCTGCTGCCTATTAATTTCATTTGGTGACCCCTAGTTCTTGTATTATGGGAGTAAGTAAATAACTTTGCCTTATCTACTTTCACTCATAGTTTTATATACCTCTATCATATCCCCCCTTAGGCTCCTCTTTTCCAAGCTGAAAAGTCCTAGCCTCTTTAATCTCTCCTCATATGGGACCCTTTCCAAGCCCCTAATCATTTTAGTTGCCCTTCTCTGAACCATTTCTAGTGCCAGTATATCTTTTTTTGAGATGAGGAGACTACACCTGTATGCAGTATTCAAGATGTGGGCGTACCATCGAGTTATATAAAGGCAATAATATATTCTCTGTCTTATTCTCTATCCCCTTTTTAATGATTCCTAACATCCTGTTTGCTTTTTTGACTGCCTCTGCACACTGCGTGGACATCTTCAGAGAACTATCCACGATGACTCCAAGATTTTTTTCCTGATTTGTTGTAGCTAAATTAGCCCCCATCATATTGTATGTATAGTTGGAGTTATTTTTTCCAATGTACTTTACATTTATCCACATTAAATTTCATTTGCCATTTTGTTGCCCAATCACTTAGTTTTGTGAGATCTTTTTGAAGTTCTTCACAGTCTGCTTTGGTCTTAACTATCTTGAGCAGTTTAGTATGGTCTGCAAACTGCCACCTCACTTTTTACCCCATTCTCTGGATCATTTATGAATAAGTTGAATAGGATTGGTCCTAAGACTGACCTTTGGGGAACACCACTAGTTACCCCTCTACATTCTGAGAATTTACCATTAATTCCTACCCTTTGTCCCCTGTCTTTTAACCAGTTCTCAATCCATGAAAGGACCTTCCATTTTATCCCATGACCACTTAATTTACGTAAGAGCCTTTGGTGAGGGAACATTGTCAAAGGCTTTCTGGAAATCTAAGTACACTATGTCCACTGGATCCCCCTTGACATGAGCAGGCTGCTGGTCACAGGGGGACTTAGCTCTGCTCTCTCTAAAAGGGACTAAGCACCCTGTGAGAAGATAGAAGGGGACTTTCCACCCATATATCTTTGTGCACATTAGGGGAGTTCCAATGTAGCTATAATCAGTAAAACAATCACACCCCTAACCAAAATATTTACAGTGTAAAAAAAACCCACCTGTGTGTAGACTAGCCTTGGTCTCCAGGGCCATTCAGTCCTGGGCCTCTTTACTAAGACTGCCAATCAGAACTGAGGATATGTCTTCAGTGCAAAAAGAAAAAAAAAGTATATTCTTAACTCGGTTTAGCTAACCCACGTTAGTTATTTTGAATTGAAACAGCAGTGAAAACACAGCAAGTTTGCTTTTAAGTTGGGTTAGCAGCTCAAGTTCAACCCCAGTCTCCCCATAGAGCCAATAGTTCAAGTAGAGTTGCTGTGTCTTCACTGCTTTTTTAACCCAAGTTAGCTAATCCAATTTAAGAACACTTTTCGGGGGGGGGGGGTTCAGTGAAGAGACACTCTTCATGATGGTAGCATACCTGTCACCTCTGGCTTTTAGCCCATGGACTCAGGGTTTGTGGGCAGAAGAAGAGATAGAAATTCTCAGGCCTGCAGCTCAGCTTCCATAACTTTAAGACTTTCAGTAGTGGCCAGGGCTGATTTCTATTGTATTCTGAACTTTCTGAGCCACTATTTAGGGTGGCCATTAGTCAGAGGGGCTCTATAGTCTCAACAATTCCCAAGATGATCTAGAAAGTTGAGCCTGTCCAGAAAGGCTGTTAAGAAGATAGCTCTTGAGTCAGGAGACCCACCATTGTCTGAATTCATTGCAGGAGAAGATTAAAGTCTCCAGCTCTTCTATTTCCCATTGTAGGCATGTATAGCAAGGTGGCAGTGCATGTGGTGTGTGTGGTTTGAATATCATGTGCGTTAAGAACTGAACTGTGACCAAACTTCTTTCACATCCCCCCAAACATTGCAGATACATCTTCAGGATCTCTTTTCATCTATTTTCCCCTCTACAATGGATGGGTGAAAGCTAAAAGGAAGCATTGAACCATGTATACCAATGCATTACTGGCATCTCCTCTTCAGAGCTCTTTAAAAAAAGTACATCAATTCAGCTTTAACAATGCAACAAAGACTTGCAAAATATCCTTTTCTGCAGGTTTCTACCAAAGGATCTGAGAAGCAATCAAGCCAGACATCTGCTAGAAGGGCAGCAAAAAAAGAGCCTAGCCAGAGATATTAAAGATATAGGTAAGCTAGCCCCTTCTCTCAAGTGAAGCCTGAAATGCTTTTATCATGTAGTGAATCCTGTAAGCCAGAACAAATACCCTGCTAAAATCAATTCTATATTCAACAGGTGTTTTTAATCACAGCTTCGGTGATGATTATACACTGTTTTTCTTTCAGAAGAGGGAAAGGACTCCCCCCCCACCCCGTTTTCCTTTTATCAAGTCAGCTTTGCCTCATCCGCTGTTCAGTGTGCCACATGAAATGTTATTGTACCTGCTGAGTAACTGCAAATATCTACCAAAAAGTTAAGGGCGAGGGAGAGAGACACTAACCACACACAAAAATTAAAAAAAAATTGAAATTCAATCTTTGTGCTTTGCAGATTGCTTTGGCACGGCTGCCTCAGTGCTGAAAGGTTTTTCCCGTGGGAACGTGCCCACCATTTGCACAAAGCACTTAAAAGCTTTCTAAATGTTAGATCATCAGCTTTGTGAAGCTGGGGATATTTACGGAAGCCACAGTAGTCACAATTTTTTAAAAAACTATTTCAGCTTTCTCTCTCACTCCCCATGTAATGCCAGTGTTTGTGTGGCTGTAGTTTCCCGAAGCTCTGATGTTTGTTTGCTTGATGTGCAAATGAATTTTGTTTTGCTGATATGAGATGGTCATCCAGGGTACCTTTCCATTTACAACCCAATGCCTCATTGCACCTGCCGGAGTGGGGGAAAACACCACTATTAATGGGGATCTGCTTCTTACCATGACTTTCAGCCATAACCTTCCAACATGCTATGATGAGCTAATAAAATACTATACAGGAGTAAGAGAAAATGCATTTTAAATTGAGCGATAATTATCTGGTAATATCATCTTTGGCTTTTTTCCATCATTGTTTCTTTCCAGCCTGTTGTAAGAGTTTATCTATCAAAATTCAAATTAGGTAATAAATGGCCATATAAATGTACTTTTTGTACATATACAGCATCCCTTGTAAATGTACTTCTGGTGTCCCTCCTCATTAATGGGATTGGTGCACAGAGTTCTTCGTAATGGGTCCCCCAGTATGTCTCTTCATCTAAACATTGAACAGAGCAGGGGGTGGAGGGTGTTTAATTATGAGGCTAAACTTCTTGAAAGCAGCTTTGAGCAGTTTTTAAAGTTTCAGAAGCACAGAGAGGAGAATACAGTACAACAGAGCTGCCATAATCCCCACACTTGGGCTTGTCATCGTAGCTTCACTAAGTTGCATAGGAAAATGTGATTTCTCAGGGCTTTGGGCCATGTTGCTTTGAGAGTTCCAGCTGAGCACAACTCTGCTAGGCACTGAACTGACAGTCTGAGTTTATGGGGGTGGCCCTACTGCTTCCTCTGCGGCCCCTTTGCCACCTCATCTACAGATAATTCTGTATGGATTATTCACAGATCCATCTACTGGCTGGAGGCAAGGAAACATCCAGGCTGATACCAGATGAAGAGACGATGCTGAGAAAAAATAAATGAGTAAAACAAAGTAGAAGGATGAAGAAAAAAAAAAGACTTTGGGCAGCAGCCAACCCCCCAAGCCTAGTTACTAATGGCATTCTTTATACTGCCTAAATAAGCATTTCTATTTTTAATGGGTCACGTAGTTAAACTTACAAAATAGCAGAGGCTTGGCTCATATTCTACTCCTTTTGGGCAGACTATCATGAAAGAAAAGGCCCTAGGTAAAGTGGCAGGAGAGACATTCTGTTTGTATCCTGAGTCTCCAATTATATATATAGGAAAGAGAAACTCTTTTCTGCACACTCTTTCTGTGGGGTTCCACGCGGAGCGGATAAAGCACACGACCAATGTGGTTGCAAGCTGAATCCAATGCTGTTTATTACAAGCTTTCTTTTATAGTTTTTCTCAACATTACATAACACAATTAGGCTATAATCACACATCTACCGATTGGACAAGAAGGAGAATCATGTGTTTATCACATGTATAGCCCCACACCGATTGGTTCAACCGTTCCTTACATAAGGCCATGATTTGTTTACCTCATCTTATATAATACTAGACCACCAGGGGGCCTTACATAAGGCCATGATTATCTTATATAATCCTAGACCACCAGGGGGCCTTACATAAGGCCATGATTTGTTTACCTGGCAAGTGTCCCATCGTGACCCTTACCTCCTCATGGAACTTTTTATTAGGTTGGTGTAGGGATGATACATCCCCACACCTCCCCCCTTTTTCTTAAATAAGGCCTATAGGAGGGTCCAACTAACATTAGGACAATTACTAGCCACCTGACTACTTTTTTTGAACCTATAAAACTGACGACAGGTGACATTTAACAACTGGGAAATATATGGAGAACTATTAAAAAACATAACATTACATAAATACCCATGAAAACCATTGGGGTGTAAATAAGGATAGCCAATAAGACATGTTTTAAAGGGATCCGATGGGGTGGCCATGGACAAGCAAAAAGGGGCTTCTTGGCCAGTCTGGTTCGCCCAGGTGATCCAAACATTTTGTCGTGGGTTAACAAAAGGTACAGATTTTGGACATACAAAGACCCCTGCTCCTATAATAAGGAGTCCGAACAAATAGAAGTACAGCATTATCAGGTGTCTAGGTTGTAGCAAACAACAAGTGCAAGTCCGGTGCCGCGGTTCTGTGGATCCGGTGTTACTACTGGATAAGCCTCAGGCGCAAATTCCCCCTCTATATGGGCTTCCCTAATAAGTCCGTGCCAACGCCTTACGGGGTCCGGGGGGCCCGAGCCGCCCGGGATATTGTCCGAAGCATGTCGCAGGGTGGAAACATCGGATGAGTATGCCGGAGGCTTTGGAGCAAACGGGTTGGCGACATCCAGTGGCCGGTGCGTGGACACGTTATTCCGTCCAGTGCACCCAATCGCGCAGCCCCACAAACCACAATGAGGACAGGGGGTAGCTACATCATCCGCCAGAGGGATTTTATCCGGCGGTTTTTTTCTATATGTCCTTTCAAAGTTAGATAAGCCTGGCTCCGCCATTCTTTTCAACCTATTCCGCAACTTCTCACCCTGCCCCGGGAACTCCGCCCGGAACTTTGGGGTACAAACATCACTGGTGACAGGAAAGCCGGGCTGGTTCAGGGCTCGCAATGTGTGGGACTGCGGGGGATGGCTCTCACC